AAGCCAAAAAATATATGTGTTTAACTTCACAGCCTTGGATCAGTCAACAATTTCTTAAATGACAATAAAAGCGTAAGCAATAAAATATAAGAACAGGTAAACTGGACATCATTAACATTTTAAAAACTTGTATTTCAGAGCACACTGTTAAGAAAATAAGCCAAACACGTGGCACATATTTGAAATTCTGGCACTGAAAAAGGTGGAGGCAGGAAGATCACAATTATAACTCGCATCTTGACAACTGAATGAGACCCTGTTTCAAACAACAGGACTAGGGATTTAGCTCAGAGCAAAGGCTCTGAATTCAATCCTTAGTATTACAATGAAATTAAAAAATAAATTAAAACAGCTATGATACAGTTTAGTGGTACAGCATTACTATGTTCAATCACCAGTACCACAAAAACATTTGTAAAAAGTAGGAAGACAACACAAAGAACAGAAAAAAATATTTGGAATTCATATGCCTAAAAAGGGACTTGTGCTGTACATATGTAGAATATATATACAAAGAACAACTACAGCTCAATAACAGACAACACAAGTTTAAAAAGTAAAGGATGCAAATACATAGTTCTCAAAAAAAAAAAAAAAAAGATGTGTAGATAGTCAATAAAAACATGAAGGGCTGGGGGACAGCTCAGCGGCGTAAGTGCCTGCCTGGGAAGCACAAGGTGCTGAGTTTGATCCCTGGTACCAAAAAAAACCAAAAACAAACAAAAAAAAAAAACATGGAAAGATGCTGGAAATCAATCATCAGCCACTAGAAAAATGCAAATCAGAACTATAGCAAGCCACTAGATCGTTGTAACTAAAGACAGGTAACAAATGGTGATAAGATGCAGAAAACCTAGAACATGCACTACTGGTAGAATGTTAAAAGGCAGTCATTTTGCAAACATCTGGTCAGTTCCTCAAAAGATTCAATGAAACACAGGTACATTATGACCAGCAATTCTACTCCTAGTTATATACCCAAAACAAGTAAAAGCATGCCCACACAAAAAACCTGTACAGGAATATTTATATCATCATCATGGCCAAAGCAGAAAGAACCTAAAGGTCAGCAATTGATAAGTGGATAAATAACATTTGTACAACCATATAATGGAATACTTGACCAAAATAGAAAGAGAGAGAGAGAGAGAGAGAGAGAGAGAGAGAGAGAGAGAGAGAGAGAAGAAAAGTGGAAAAGAAAAAAGAAAATGAAGTACCGGCAAAGCCAACCATGGGTGAATCAGGAAAACACTACATCAACTGAAAGACGACAGCCACACACTCACACAGAAACAAACACTACAAAATTCCATTCATACAAAGTGGCCCAAACAGGTAAATCTAAACTAATAAAAATAGACTAGTGGTTGTGTAGCAGGGGAAGGTTTGCAGTGAAAGGGGGAATGACTGATAACAGACATATGGCTGTTTTGGGGGTTAGTGAAAATGTTAAGGTCATTCTTGTGATGGTGACATAACTGTAACTAAAAATGACTGAATTGTATATATACACATATATGTAAATATA